GGTAAAGGGAACGAGCTAATAAGATTAATGAGAGATTATTTTATCCTCTAAGAAGCTGTGGCTTGTTACTGTTGTTGCTTTTATATGGATTTAGAAAGACTAATAGTGTAATTTTTAAGTGAAATGGATTTTTTTTTTTTTTTGCTGTGTTAATTATTAAATCTAGCATGATAGCTATCTGTTAAAAGATAGGAGGAAATTAGAATCTTCCTTCTTTGGATCCAAGTTTTGTGTACATTTGTAGATTAGGAAATCCAGAGACAGAAGTGCTAATGTTTGAGCAAAACATAATGTTGAAGGAGAATCAGTAAGTAATTTATGTAAGGATAATTTCTCAAAAAGAAATTTGTATTTTCAAAAATGATAATTTTATTAAAGCTAAAATATAAGAGCCATGAAAATACTGATAAACAAAAACAACTTATATTAAAACTTACATTTGAAATAGCAATCTATTTTTTTTAAGGATTCAGCCCAATATAATTTCAAGGTATAGCATCTTAGATATTCCTTACATCTTAATTCAACTAAGAAATTCCATATCTAGCATTACATCTGTGCCTCTACAAGGCCTAAGTCATAGTAGGTCTGCAATAGATATTTTTTGAGTAGCCTTTATTAATCCATATATGGGGATTAAAATAATAAAATACAATACTTCCAGATGCTAATACTTTAGCTGGGAGAATGAGGCTCAAAACATTTAAATTATAACTGGACAGCTCTAATACATAGGCGACTGTTATAAACCATGGTCGCCTCAGGAACTCAGATCAGTGTAAGTTGAAGTATTCAGGGAAAACTTCACCCCTTAAGACCTAGTTTGGGCCTGAGCAATGGGTGAAATTTCAGTAGATTAAAAAAAGGGGATATGGAATCTCAGGTACTGGGTGATTTGTGTTCAGATCCTAAAGAATAATTGACTCTTAACTGAAGCAAAAAGGTCACTTGGGGAATTTGGTTTAAAATAAAAAGTATGAGGAGTTACTTAGAGTCCATTTGCCACAAGGAGCTATTCTTAGGTTTTGAATAGGAGAGAAACCTTATGAAAATAATTTTTTAAAAAGATTTATTTATTTGTGCCTGCAAGAGCTGGGGTGTAGGCCAGAGGTGGTGGGGCAGGGTGGGGGTGGGAGGAGAAGATTCATCAGAGACAAGAGTCCGGAGCAGAAAAGGTGAATCTACTGAAATATACTGCTGAGGGGAGCAGCAGGCTAGACAGGAGAGGTCTACTGCACCGTGTGGGTCAACTCCCTGGCCAGGGATGGAACTTCTGCTGCAGTGGCTGTGGATTGCTTCATAGTACTGAGTCTTAATCCCTTGCACCACCAGGGAGGCCCCAAAAGTAATATTTGAGGAAGATAAAACTGACAGTGTGATGTAAGATGGCTGGGAAAGCAAAGACCAGAAACTAAGGGGCTAAATACTATAAATATTAGAATACAGACTGGTGTATTCCTCTTCAGAGGATTTTTAGCCAAATGCTTTACTCCTCTGTGGTTGAATAATATAAATCTCAGTGCTTTTCTATGTATTCTTCTAAAGCATTGAGCTTATAGCACTATAAGTACAAATTTTATTAAGAGTGGAGGTGGTCATGGCACAATCAAAACTGTAAAGTGTTGTTCACATTGATTCAATTTTTGCTGCTTTTCACTCAGCATTTAAATGTCTCTTGGTTCTCTTTAACCAGATTGAGGGAATTTTAATGAAAAAAAAAAAAAAACAGTCTAATACCCGAAGAACGCCTAAGAGAGGACAGCAGGTTTTCTTATTGACTGTAGGCTTTCACCTGTCTTGTTTCTCCAAAACCAAATTCAGTCCCACATCTGCTACTATATACCAGACACTAGCCTAGTGTAGATACAGAGAAGGGTGTTTGTCTCCTGCTTCAAAACTGTTTCAAAGAATTTGAAGTTCATCCACCCTAAATTGATGATTAGTGGTTTTTAATTAGGTAAATGGATGGGAATCTCTGGCTGTGGAAAATAACTCTGAAACAAGGTCCTGCACTACAGATAACTGATATGGCAGGGATTTCAACATTCACCAAATATTCCTCTTACTCTCCTAGAGTACATAGCCTTCTTTGCAATTAGGGAAGCAAATAAAAGTGACCAACGTCACTTCTGGGCTATGGTGGTGAAAAACTCATCTGAAGTTTTCCAGTTTCTTTTGTTTTTTTCAAAGTTTTCCATTTTCTTTTCATCTGCCATGATGCATATTGTTATATAGGAGCCTGGGTCTCTGAGTGACTCTGTGGATCAGATAGCCCCACTCGCTATGTCCATTGTTAACCCCTACTCCTAAACTAATTGGGTATGTAACATGAGTTAATATGTTAACAGGTTTTCCCTTGGGGATATTGACAGTTCATTTATTTAAAGATTTCTTAAAGTATTTTAAGTTAAAGCAAGTTTAAAGATTTTTTTTTTCAAGGTTTATTTTATTTTATTTATTTATTATTTTTTTATTTATTTATACAAGCACTGGGTATAGTCAGAAGCGCGGGAGGGTGAGAGAATTCACCAGAGCCAGAGCGGGGAGCAGAGCAGGCAGAAGGACCGAAGTACACTGCTGAGGGGAGCAGTGGGCGGCAGGAGAGGTCTGCGAACCATGTGGGACCCTCCTCTGGTGGCCGGGGAGCAGCCGGGGATCGAACCGGTGCTGTAGAGGCTGTGGGCAGCTTCGCAACCCAGTGCTCAACCACTGCGCCACCGGGGAGGCCCAATTTAAAGATTTTTTTAAGTTAAAACAAAATGTCCTGAATTTTGTAGATGAGGTGTTAGAAAGAAAATTACACTATAAGGTAGTTAATTGCATATCCAGCAAACATTTATTATATATTGAGGCTTGCTGGGTTTCAAGTACTAATGTATGTGTCTCTTTGTAGAGCCAGAATATTTTTTTAAAGATTTATTTATTTATGCATACAAGAACTGAGGTTCAGGCCAGTGGTGTGGGGGGTGAGAGGACTCACCAGAGACAGAGTGGGGAACAGAACAAGCAGATCAACTGAAGTACACTGCTGAGAGGAGCAGTGGGCGAGACAGGAGAGGTCTGCTGTGCCCTGGGGGTAGCTCCCTGGCCAGGAATCGAACTCATGCTACAGTAGCTGCGGATTGCTTCATAGGTTGCATCTTAACCCCTTGTGCCACCAGAGAGGCCCCAATAGAGCCAGAATATTAAGAATAATTTTCATGATTTTGAGGTCTCTGCCACATTATCTTTGGCTATCCTATCTTACAAAAGTCTTACAGTTGTATGTTGTATATAAACCAGAATTATACATTAAATTGCATTGCGGTTTCATAGCTACTTTTTAATAGCTTTAGTGAAGTGTGACTTATGTGCCATGCAATTCAATCTTTTTAAGGATACAACTTTATGATTTTTCAAAGAAAATTTATGGAGTCGTGCAGCCATCACCATATTCCAGTTGTAGGAAATTTCCATTTCCCTAAAAACAAACCTTGTGTCCATTTGCAGGCATTTCCCATTCTCTCCCCAAGCCTAGGCAACCCTTAATAAGTAAACTTTCTGTCTCTATAGATTTGCCTTTTCTGAACATTTAATACAAATGTAGTCATAAGCCTGGCTTATTTCAATTAGCATGATGTTTTTGAGATTTAGTTTTGTTGTAGTGTGTATTTCATCCCTGTTCATTGCCAGGTAATATTTCATTATACAAACACATTTTATTTGTCCATTCACCAGTTGATGGATATTAGATTGCTTTCAGTTTATAGCTCTTATAAATAATGCTGCTTTGAAGTGTTTGTGTGTGCAAGTTTTTTTGTAAACATGTTTTTAGTTCCGGTGGGTATATACATAGGAGTACAGTTATGAAGTCATAGTAATTGTGTTTAGCTTTTTGAAGAACTGCCTGACTGTTTTCAAAAGTGAATATACAATTTTATATTCTACTAGTAGTGTGTGCCATATAACACTGAGGTATATGTATGAGGACTTCAATTTCTCCAAACTTAATAATGTCTGTCTTTTTGATGATAGTCATACACTGGCGGGTATAAAAGTACTTATTATGTAGTTTTGATTCTCATTATCCTAATGACTAGTGATGTTGAGCTTCTCTTGTGTTTGTTGACCATTCATATATCTTACTTGGTAAAATATCTTCAAATATTTTTTTCTGTTTTTCAAGTTGGGTTATTCGTCATGTATTTTGCTATTTACATAATATGGATAAAAGTCTTTTATTAGATAAATGATATATTTACAAATATTTGCTTTTGTATGTAGGTTGTCCTTTACCTTTCATAATGATTTGCTTTGAAGAACATTAAGTTTTTCATTTTAATGAAGTCTAACTTATCAATTTTTTTCTTTTACCACTTGTGCCTTTGATGTTGTATCTAAGAATCTTTGCCTCACCCAAGCTCATTTATAGTTCTATATTTTCTAAGAATTTTATTGTGTTAGCTCTTCCTTTAGGTCTTTGGTTCAGCTGGAATTAAATTTTGTATATGTTGTATGAGGTAGACGTCCGACTTTATTCCTTTGGGTGTGCCTGTTCAGTTGTACCAGCACCATTCAATAAAAAGACTATTCTTTCCCCATTGAATTATTTTGGCAATCTGTCATAAATTAACTGTTAGTCTAAGGATTTATTTCTGAACTCTTGATTCTACTCCAGATATCTATATGACAATACTTATGCTAGTACCTCACTATTTTGATCACTATAGTCTTGTAATAAATTTTTAAAATGGAACTGTGAATCCTCCAACTGAAGTCCTCTGAGTCTAGGCTTAACTTTGTGTAAATATTTTAAATTACCAATTAAATTTCTCAACTTCACATTTCCTATTTCCTTTTCATTAAATTTTGGTAGTTTGTACTTTTCTGGGTTATTTTTCCATTTTACAGCTTGGGGGGGGGGCGCAGTCTCAGGCTAGTCATGGGCAAAGTTACTTTTTATCTTGTACACTCTCATTTAGTCATAAAGGTGGTTATTTCCTAAGAGCCACTGGACCTGAGAGCTTCTGCCCCTCCCTCCAGCCTCCCTAGATCTCCCCACAAGTCAGCACACACAGGTTAACAACACCTGGAACAGAAGAGGACCTTTGGAACCCAGCTCCCACGTAGTTACCATCGATACCAATTGGTTGGCCCTCCTGCTTTACCAGTTATTAAATGTTTGAACATCACCTTTTGGAAATGGAAGGCTGAGAACCCACTGTCCACCACTTTCTCTCACTTTGAACTGGAGCTTATCATGTGCTTCAGCGTTCTGCTGGTCAGGTCTGGCAGAAGGAATAGCATTGGTCGTTTGGGTATGTCTAACTGGCAGTTGTGGGCACTGATAGACTTGGGAAGCTGAACTGTAGGCTGGCAGGGAGAGGGTAGCCTATGTTGGTGGCTTGATTTCTAATGATAAATTAAATCCCAGCTATGGCTATTACAAAGAAAAGAAAAGTGGCTGATGATAAGTGTGTAGCTCCAAGTAAGTGAACTGAAGGGTGTGTTTTTATACTGAAGGCTTTACAGCATACAATGAAATAGGCACTTATTTAAAACAAAGCCATTTATTAAAATATTTCCAGGAGCCAGGCAGATAACATGTCTCATTTCATTGATTCAGGGATGCACATTTTGCTATTTAATTATCTCTGAAATGGGAATGGAGGTTTTGGATCCTGGCAAGCCATAGTTTAATGGCAGTGCTATTTCTTTCTTAGAGGCTATCAAATAGTGATATAGCTTCTAATCAATGATGTTTTAGATTAGATTAAATTGAGGAAATGAGTGATGAGTGGCGTGGACCAGGAAAATCACATCCCTTCATGTCAGCCTTTCATTTTGAAAGAGCAACCCCTCCCGCCATTGTTAACTGTGGAGACAGACCCAGTGTTGTGGGTATTCTGACTTTTCAGACGAAGCCACAAGTCCAGAAAGCTAGACTTTTCCGTACAAGTGAAACTTCTAATCTTAAATTAATGCCTTTTTTAAAACTGTCCAAAAAAATTTTTTTAAAGTGTGTACAAATTAGATCCAGCCTGTAAATGTTCTGTGATAATCTCTGTGTTAAGAATTCAGTATTAAGACTCAAACCACTTTTTACACTTTAGTCAAAAAAGAAAAAAAAAAAACAAATTTTAAGATTTAACACTAGGTTCAGAGGCCCAGAATAGCAAATATTGCAGAGGATATTACTTTATGTAGCTTTAAAATTTTCAGCTCATAAGATAAGAAAGTATAGTTATATATGTTGATAGTGTTGCATTTTCTGATTATAAAAATATATGATTACTTTTAAGACTGTAGTGCTCTCTTTTGGCTGGAGTCTATCACTCAGCACAACTATTTTGAGATTCATTCATATTGCAGCATATTATGTCCCTTTTTATCAATGAGTAGTATTTTATTGCCTAGCTATATCACAGTTTGTTTATTCATTTACCTATATTGATGAACAGCTGGGTTATTTCTAGTTTTGGGCTATTAAAAGTAAACCTCTTAAGACCATTTGTGTATAAGTCTTTGTGTAGACATAATCTTTCATTTCTCTTCAATAAATACCTGGGATTGAAATGGTTGGATCGTGTAGTAGGTGCATATTTAACTTATTAAGAAACTACCCAACAGTTTCACCAATACTTGTAACAGTCAGTCTTTTTAATTTTAGTTATTCTAATTGGTATGAGTGATATCTCTTTGTGGTTTTAATTTATATTTTCTTTTCTTTTTTTTTTTTAAAGATTTATTTATTTATGCATATAAGAACTGGGGTTCAGGCCAGAGGTCTGGGGGGTGAGAGGATTCACCAGAGCTACAGTAGGGAACAGAACAGGCAGACTGACTGATATACACTGCTGAGGGGAGCAGCGGGTGAGAAAGGAGAGGTCTGCTGTGCCAAGTGGGTTACTTCCCTGGCCGGGGATTGAACTCATGGAGATCGAACTCATGCTGCAGTGGCTATGGATAATTCATAATGCTGTGTCTTAACCCCTTGCGCCACCAGGGAGGCCCCTAATTTGTATTTTCTTACTAATAAGGTTGAGCAACTTTTCATGTGTCTATTTATCATTGATATATCTTCTTTGATGTATCAAGATACAACTGTTTAAATATTTTACCTGTTTTTCTTACTGAGTTTGGAGAGTTCTCTTTATACTCAAGATACAAGTCGTTTATTAGATACGTGTTTTGCAAATATTTTCCCCCAACTAGTGACTCGTCTTCACATTCTTTTCATGGGGTTTTAGGAAGGGCAGAAATGTTTAATTTTGAGGAAGTCCAGTTTATAATGGTTTTTAATGTCATATCTAGAAAATATTTGCCTATCTCAGGGTAACAAAGATTTTCTTTTAGAGGTATAAGTTCTATTTTGTTAATTGTTGTATATGGTGTGTGATATGAATAAATGACTTTTAAATTGTTTCATTTTTATGTTACATGTTGTCCCAGAACCATTTTTGTTGAGCAGGTTATCCTTTCTGTAAAAGTTGCCTTTGCAACTTTCTCAACAATCATTTGTTTATATATTTGAAGTCCATTGATCTGTTTGTCTAAATTGCCAGCAATAACCAAACTGCCTTGATTGCCATAGTTTTTTAAATCTTGATAAACACTTGTGTTAGACCTGTTACTTTGTTCTTCTTTTACAAAGTTGTTTTGGATGCTTAACATTTTTATAGAAACTTTAGAAAATGTTTGTCAGTTTCTAACAAGTCATCTACTAGATAATTTTTGGGTCCCTCCCCTGTACTCTATCCCTGACACTTTCTCAAAACAATCAGCTAGGCAATCATGGGACTCACTTTTTAAATGTTTCAGTCTCTCAGGAATCACTGTCTTCTTGTCTGATGTCCTATTTTTTGAAAATCACCTTCATAACGTTTTTGTTTGAATTATTTTTTTGGATTTGTTTTGGTTTTCTTGTTAGTTATTGGATTATTTTAAGCAAGTAAATCTGCTTCATGTTACTTTGTCTTGGGCAGAGGTGAAAGTTTAAGAACAATATTTGTTTTTCCTCCCTCAAGGTCATTTGGGGTTCTGAGATTCTGTTGATTTAGTTCAGGACCTTTGAGAACTGTTTGGGTTCAGCTGATTCCTACTGTGGAGAATATTGTGTGTGTATATAATTTAAATAAACAAAGAATATTCTGTTTAGTTAAAACTGGAAAGCATCCTAAAAGTTTTACAAACAAATCTATATTAGCCACCAGCATTTTTTTTGATAGACTGCCACTAATCTCCAAGAAATCTTGGGTAGAATGTCAAAATTGTCCTAGATCCTAGCCTCAGTCTCTATGGGAAATGTATATTTCTTAAAGTAACCCCAGAAATTATTATTTAATACTTTTTTATTTCAAAATTAGAGGACAATGTATATAAAAATATGCACGAATCCCAGGAAACCCACATATCCAACCACCTAGATGAAGTTGTTGCTGCTGTCAGCATAACGCCTGGAAAGAAGATCTCAAACAAGCTGCCTCTGACGGCCCTGTTCCAGCCTCCTGGAGAGAAACTTCACCTCTGTGAAGAGAAAGTGAAGGCCTTGTCGAGCAACCACAAAGTAAGAAGCCTTGCTTTTCTATACTGCATTGGTAACTCGATAAGTAGGACAGTTTCAGTCATAGCCTGGGCTCAGGCACTGTGTATGAGGCAGAGTGGAAGAGCCACTGGGTGCAGCACTGGGGCTTCCCTCCAGGCACAGCCTATGTGATATTTGCTGAATGAATGCACACACAGATAAGCCAGTGTGCCCTGGCCTCTGCCAGAGGTGTGCTGGACTGGCTGTAGCAGGGTTTAACCTAAAACAGCCACTTCCCATCCATCAGTCAACACTTACGAGCTCATCCTGTGCACCAGGCTCCTGTCCTGGAATACAGCACAAAGCAGATGAAGCTTCTGCTGTCATGGAGCTTTCAGAGGATGCTCTTTATCTCCTTGTTTTCTGCCTACTTCTTTTCATTCTCTCCTCCAAAATTTTACTCATTGACTTGTTCATTAAATATTCATTTCTCTGCCATTTCTTATATCTCTTACCCTATTTGTCCATTCATTCATTTCCCAAATATCGACTATGTGCCGGGGGGCTTGCAGGTACTGGGGGCACCTGTGGGAAAGCCTCCGCCTTGGCCTTAGAGGGGCTCCTGGTTTGGCTTGGAGAATAGATGGGAGGCAGATATTGGTGGTCAGCATGGTAAGTTCTATAATGGACACAGGCTGAGGTGATATAGAGGCAGTGAGGGAAGGAGGGCTGGGAAATGAACCTGAGGTTGGTGGGACCACGGCAATTGAGGGAAGCCTGTGGGGATGGCAGTTACTTGATAGAGTGTTGGACTGGCTGGTTGTAGGTTTGACCTAAACCCTAAGACCTACAACCATCGGTTAGTAAACACTGACTGATACTGGTGCCTGGGAGTTGACTCTGCGAGGGACAGGACAACTGTGCTCTGGACAGAGGTAGCAGATGGACAGGAGCCAATGCCAAGGGTCTTAGGGTATGCAATCTATTTGGGGAACACCAGAAGCTGTCTGTGATTCAGTTGTTAGTGACATCGGGCAATAAATGAGGTTGGATTATGGACAGTTTGAGGTCTTGAGGATTTTTAACACCTTGGAAGAGGGTCTGATTTTCTCCTCCAGGCCCTGGAGATCACCCAAGGAGAATAAACAGGAGAGTGCCATGAGCAAGTTTGAGCTTCTGGAATGATCACTCAGGTCTGGCTAGCCATGTAGGAAGATGGATGAGAAGCGAGCCAAATTGGAGGAGGGAGCCAGCTTAGAGGATATTTGCAATACTCCTGGCAAGAAATTATGAGGGCCGAGCTACAACAGAGGCAGTACAGATGCTGAGATCTTTGGACAGGGAGCTGGAAATGTGAATCAGTGGGACCTGGCGGTGACAGGGATGGAGAGACTAGAGCGAGCCAGAGGGCATGTACACACTTCCCAACTTTCTCAACCAGAATCTTGCAAGAGAATGAATTCCTAATGCCCTGAGGCATTTAACACATGTGAAAAGCTAACTTCTCCTGGCTGCATCTACAATGGGACTAAAACATTTCATGCGTTTCCTCACAGTCAGCTCCATTTTATGCTTTTGGGGCAGGAATCCCAAAGACATCACCTAGGACCCTGCTTGTGCATCCTTGTCACTACAATGCTAACTTGATCATTTAGTGAAAATGCTCAGTTTTCACCCTGGAATTACTGTTCTTCCCTTCATAATTACTAAGTATTTGTAATCACTAAATACTAAATTACTAAAATCATTTCATGGGATGATTCCCTAAGACTGTGTGCTGTGCTTTTCCTTTTTACTTTTATTCCATTACGCGTCTCACCTTCTACTGTGCTACGCATTGTACTTATTTCTTATGTTTATTGTCCGTTTCACCCTCCCGAGAGAGCAGATCTTTGTCGTATTGTTCTCTGATGTATTCGAAGTGCTTAAACCACATCTAGCACATAGTCGCATAAATAGCCATTCAGTTAATAGATACTGCGTGGATAAAGGTTGATTTTGTCCTGACATGGGGCCCTCAGCTGTCCTACAGGTGAGCCCGTGTTCTCTTCCCTGCAGTTCAAAGAGGCCATCCAGGAGCTCGTGCGCTGCATGGCGCTGACAAGGATCTGCTATGGCGACTCGCACTGGAAACTAGCAGAGGCTCATGTTAATCTGGCTCAAGGCTACCTCCAGCTGAAAGGTGAGCTCCCCTCAGATTGAGAAGGATCAGTCCTTTGGTTTCCTAGATTCATAGGAAATAGCAAGACTGAGTTGAATCAGCTTGCCCCAGATCACACTGTTAATAGGTAGTTTATCTAAGGCTCAGACCAGGGTTTCGGATGCCAGGACACTGGTCCAGTGTCCTGGCATCTGCAGCTTCAAATGATGTTTTTGGCCAATAACCTGCTCCCTTTTCTGCATGACAGTCTTTTCCCTCTCAATTTAAAGTAAAAGCCACAGCTGCTATTTACTAAGATACCACGTCAACTATTTCCCATGTGTCATCTCCCTCCCCCTTCGTCACGGTCCTGGGAGGTGTGTCACATCATCATCCCCCTTCACAGTGAAGGAAGCTAAAGCCTTCAGGGTACATGGTGATTTGGAGAGTTCATTCAGGGCCTTAGAACCCATGTTTTTGAACCCCAACCCACACTGCCTCCTGTAGATTTTCAAGTTCCACGAGGGACTGGACCAGTGTTGAAATACAGTCCTCTGGGCCTTTCTTACTTCTGAATGCATCATCAGCACCAATACATTTTGGGCAGGTTGATTAAGTGTGTACTTAAAAAAAGACAAAATCTTGTAAGAATTCCCATGGGAAGAACATACCCCAAATGTTCTCCATCAGAAATTATATATTTTTTCCTGTTTTACAGATATAGAACTAGCGCTTCCCATTTGACAACTTTTCTAGAGGTTTGAGATACGATTCCATATGATGAGGAACATAATACCGGAGTGTATGGTTGTGGGTGGAAGGGGGTGTGGAAGGAGGTGTCGGTGTGGGGAAGTAGGATGGGGTTAGCAAAAAGTCCAGAAACCTGACTGGTGATCCCCAGTGTCACCCTCACCACAAAGCAATAAACCCATGGAAGGAAGGGCCCCGGCATCCTGGGAATTCACTCTTGGCATTCACTTTCTGTTTGTTCCATTTTGCTGTATAGTGATCTGTTCCCATGTAGGAATAAGAGCGTGTAGCATGTTAGTCCATCACCTTATTGGAATAGGGACTATCGGGTTTTTGTAGATGTCACTCTACTTGTAGTATGTTAAAATAACTCTGTGAAGTTAGGATTATAGATGAGGGAGTAGAAAACTCACTCATGCCATTCAGATTACTGTCACAGGCAGACTGATTGAGATACACTGCTGAGGGAGCAGGGGGTGAGCCAGGAGAGGTCTGCTGCACCATGTGGGTTGCTCCCTCACCGGGGATCAAACTCATGCTGCAGTGGCTGGAGATGGCTTGATAGGGCTGTCTTTAACCCCTGTACCACCAGGGAGTCCCCTTTCCTTGGTTTTCATAGTCATGACAGTGTTCTGCGTGGCCCAGACATCTCCATGTGCCACTTGACAGGACACGAAGGCCACCTTGTCAGATTCCTTAGCCATAGATTATCCATCCCTGCCCAACTGAAATAAAAAGAAACTGAGACCTCCTCTTCTTTCCCCACAGGGATGTCACTGCAGGCAAAAAAACATGCAGAAATGGCCAAAGAAATCCTCACCAACTCCATTGCGCCCCCCTATAACGATGATACAGATGTCTTCAAGTGTTCCATCGAGCTGTTCCACACCATGGGGAGAGCCTTACTCTCCCTCCAGAAGTATCCTTTTGCCTCTCATTTTTACAAATAGAAGTACATAGTATTTATATTTAATTCTCAAGACAAAATCAAACACTGATAGCTCAAGGAGGGCTTGGGAGGTATGTGAGCCAAGGATGTCCAGGAATGGGAGTCCCAGAATCTAGAGCTCAGCAGAAAGTTTCTTGAACACAACTCAGATTTAAAGACGCCTCAGAGAATTTGACAAAAGCAGAGAGACTCTCAAAGGAGCTACTACAATGTGGACGGATTATAAAGGAAGAATGGGTAGAAATTCAAGCGCGGATCAAATTGTCATTTGCACAGTAAGTTTCAAGTCTCACACTTTTTGAATGTAGGATGACTGGAGGTTCTTTGCCAAAAGAATCAGTATTCAGGCAGGAGAGCTTCTCCATGATTCTCTGTCCATTGCTTCTCTATGGTCATTGTCCAAAAGTAAATAAGGGGCCTCCCTGGTGGTGCAAGGGGTTGAATGCAGCGCTATGAAGCTGTCTGTAGCCTAAGCGGTGTGGGTTCTATTCCCGGCCAGAGAGAAACCCACATGGCACAGCAGACCTCTCCTGACTCGCCCGCTGCTCCCCTCAGCAGTGTATTTCTGTCAATCTGCCTGTTCTGTTCCCCACTCTGTCTCTGGTGAATCCTCTTACCTCCCACACCTCTGGCCTGTACCCCAGTTCTTGTATGCATAAATAAATAAATCTTTGAAAAAAAAAACAAAAGTAAATAAAAGAGGACCATGGGCATATTGGAGTTGCCACTGTCAAGACAGACATGTGGGTGACACACACCTGCTAGATGTGTGGCTCTCAGCCAGCCTGGTCCTTGAGTTCTGGGCATCGTTCTCTTGACTTTCTATCTTCCTGCTCTCCGTGCCCGGCCCCCCGCCCCCCGCCTCTGTGCTCTTCCTCACTCTCTCCCTTTTATCCTCAGCTCTCTGAATCTAAATACTTCAATACATTGATTTTATGATTAGGTCCTCAAAGTAGAAAGATTTCAGATATCTAAGTTCACGATGGTGAGAGATTTGTTTTTGTTCCTCCCACCCTCGTCCCATGTCACCAAATAAGTCCAACTGGATGCTGGAGCCTGGGGGGTGGGATGCAAAGGACGAGCCTTGGGTGGTCAGCACACTTCTTCCTTTCCCAAAGCCCAACCCCAAGCCAATTCCACAAAACATTGGGGTGACAGAGCATGCTCACTCTTTGGAAGGAGGGGGTTCATAGGAAGAGAGCAGAAAAAGGCTATTCTAGAAGAAGCAGCGAATCCCCAGCTGACCTCCATAGAGACCCTTATTCACAGCTGGAAGAATTCTAACTAACCAGACTGCAGGCAGAGGCTGGTTCCCAGGAGAGCTCAGAGACCCAGTGGGATCTGTTTAAGAAGGAAAGGGCCCTGAGAACACCTGGTGCCTGCACATGGCTGGAGCTGGGAATGACCAAGTTTGACTCTTGTTTTTGTAATACATTTTGCATACGTCTACCCTTGTTCATTTGTGTTTTGCCTGGAGGTTATTTGGACTTGAAATACTGATCGTTCGTTCGTCCATACAGAACCCTTGATATGCTTTGTGAAATTGATTTTTTCCTTTCATCTCTGATCCTCACTTTCATTCTGCCCTCTGCACATCAGAGATACCTATTTGAATGATAATTTATGTGTTTGAATATATATTTCTGAATAATAAACAGCATTGTTTCATATACTTTTAAAAAGTATTTTAAGTTTGTAAGAATTTTTTTGGAAAAAGATTTATTTATTTACGCATACAAGAACTGGGGTACAGACCAGAGGTGTAGGGGGGTGAGAGGATTCACCAGAGACAGAGTGGGGAACAGAACAGGCAGATCGACCAAAATACACTGCTGAGGGGAGCAGCAGGCAAGTCAGGAGAGGTCTGCTGCGCCATGTGGGTAGCTCCCTGGCCGGGCATCGAACTCGTGCTGCAGTGGCTGTGGATAGCTTCAAACGTTGTGTCTTAACGCCTTGTACCACCAGGGAGGCCCCTAAGGAGGCCCCAAGTTTGTATAAACTTGGATATGTCTCACCCCGTTTCTTACTTTTCTCCATTTAGCAATGCTCCCCAGAACACACTTACCACACGTGCCTGGTAGTGATGCACAGTCAGCTGGCCCCAGCTCCCGGCTCCCATGTGGCACTGCCAGGAACATCCTCAGGCAGCATGCCACTTTCCAAGCTAACGGAGACCTGCATTGTAAGACAGGAAATATACAAGTCAGAGGTTGAAGGTCTGATATTTGTTACAGCTGCTGAGATCTGACCGGTGTTACTAATACCTCATGTTGTTCAGTGTTGCTACATAAGAGAGTAAATTATCCTTGGCCAGAATCAGCTCTTCTGAGCTTTCCAAATCAGCAGTACCAAACCTTGCCAGCAGATGGCGGGCCTCGTACACATCTGCGCTCCATATCCAAGCATGTAAGTTACATTCCAGGCTCTCCCAACAGTTACTTTTGCCTTTAGCAGAATTGTTGAAAACTTTACTACTTCTTTGCTTCCTGATTCTACACAGTGAAGTAGTCACTGGAACTTGCCTGACCGAACTGCGGGGTTTTCATTCAATCACTTTGCTCTTGTTTCTTCTTTAAAGTGTGACTATTTTGCCCAGACCCATGTGCTTTAGGAAGTCACCGGGCTTTGGTTTTGTGCATCTGTAGTTACACTCACAACCACAAGGGCCTTTTCTTTTGCCAGGTCTGAGAGCTGGAAGGCCAGGCTAATTGCTCAGGCAACGCTTGTGGGATTTGTTTCTCTTAAAAGGGGATCTTTGGTGCATCCTCTTCCTCCCTCTGCCTCGCCTTTTATGGTACCCATCAGGCCAGACCAGTTCTTTTCTCCTTCAGCTGACAGATAAGCAAGCAAGGGTGACTCATGCCCTGTGTCTCCCATTCCTGGCTGAGCCTGTGCCTTCTACCTATCTCCCTGCCCCAGAGCCACTTCATCCACTAACTTGCTTATTAATGGTGGAGAGTGAATCCAAACCTTTTTGTGGGCAGTTGTGGCTTTATTTTAAAAAATCACTAACAAAAATGGGTAAACGTTTCCCTAGTGCTAAATGATTTTCTATCCTGGGTACTGATTGACAGGTCCCCAGCGACAGATGGTATCTTTATACACACACAGGCACACACCATGGTGATATGTATACACACACACACACACACACACACACAGAGCTCTCTGTGACCTTTGGTGTCTTCTGCAGCCCCCAGTGAGCCTGGCCACGCAGAATGAGCTCTCAAATGTGTCTGTGATATAAACACTCCTTAGCACATCAGGCCATCTTCCAGGTATTTCTAAGAACGGGAGGTGTGTTGCTGATGGGGTGGCCTTTGGAGTCAATCAGCGTGCACTTAGCCTTCCCAGCCGTCAGAAGAAGGCAGGCCTGGTGCGTTCCTGTCCTGTCCAGGTGGGAACAATAGGCCGGCAGGGGGTTGCTGTGATGACTAAATGGACCCCACATTCGGGCATGGGGTACATGGTAGACCCTTTTTTAAAAAGCAGTCATATCATTACCACCCAGTGGAGCATTTTCCTGTCTGCAGTTCCATTCCAGACACGAGTTGATGTTTAAGTGCGTGCTTATATCGTAGGCTCAGAGTCCATACTTAGGGCTGCTCTGTATCCTTTCCTCTGACTAGAGAGTGCTAAGCATTTTATTTTTTTGTCATTGCTCTCATGAACCACCCAGGCTAAAACATCATCTCCTATGCTTATTTTTTAAAACTTGAAATTTGTTTCTTTGTCTCACTTTCTCTTGATCTGTCATAGTCATGAGATTTGGAAAGTAATTTTAATGCAAGATTTCCAGACAGGAAAGGAAATGGGGAAAGTTTCTCCCTCAGCCAACCCTTCCTGGGGAGGGGTAGAGAAAACCAGGGCCAGTGGGACATCGTGCGTGTGTGTGTGCGTGCGTGCGTGCGTGTGTGTGTGTGTGTGTGTATGGCTGTCCCCCCCTTGTTGAGGTTGTGGGACTGCACTTAGCACATGCTTCTCCAGAAAGCACACCCGGTGGCTTTTACCAAGAATTTTTGAAACTTCAGTAATAATAGCCTTTGCTTTTATAGCTTACAATCCACCCTAAATTGGTCCAACCCATTATCTCCAAATTAAACTGTTGATTTCTGGATTCAGGTTTATTTTATGTTTTAGTTTATTCTAACACCTGCAGGTCCTTAATGTCTGCTCATGTAGATGTGTTTATTTTTCTTTTTATAGATTTCTTTTTATTTATGCATACAAGAGTTGGGGTCTAGGTCAGAGGTGTGGGGGGTGAGAGGATTCACTGGAGACAGAGCGGGGAACAGAACAGGCAGACTGACTGAAATACACTGCTGAGGGGAGCAGCGGGCAAGACAGGAGAGGACTGCTGTGCCATGTGGGTCAGCTCCCAGGCTGGGGATCGAACTCATGCTGCAGTGGCTGGTGATAGCTTGACAGCGCTGAGACTTAACCCCTGCACCACTCGGGAGCCGTAGATGTGTTTCTTTAGAGTCACTCTCTCTGCACTATGTGCTGTGCATAAAGACCCTGAGAAATGCTCATGTGTTCCAAGTCCTGCTTGTCCTGTTCCTGCTCCCGGGAAATGCCCTGCTCTCCTCCTGAAGGGGTGTTTCCCCTGTCCGTTCCTCCATGGCGCCATGTGCCTGGGATGCTTTATGCCTAGTTATCAAAGAAGGAAATCATTTGATTGTGATTTGTTTTTGTTTTGCTTTTTTTAATAAATTAATTTTTTTACATCGTTGTTCATTTTAAAAAAATATTTGCTACCCCCCCACCCCCTCAGGTGTAGTCCCCGTAGAGTTTCCTTCCCCAAGGCACCCGTGCACTATCACCTCAGTCCCCTGTGCTCCTCCCTCCCTCCCTCTGATTCCTCTCCCTCCTCCTCCCCTGCAGGATGTCTCTGATTTATAATTGTCCATTTTTGCTTTGTTGAGTTTTGTCCTGTTATTATTATTTTACACTGATGTCTTATTGGGTTCCCCTATATTCCTGCTATAAGTGAAACTATCCGATATTTTTCTTTTTCCTTCTGGCTTATTTTACTGAGCATAATTCCTTCTAGCTCCATCCACGTTGCTGCAAATGGCATGAGTTTATCTTTTTTAATTGCTGAATAATATTCCATTGTGTATATATGCCACATCTTCTTGATCCAGTCATCTATTTTTGGGCATTTGGGTTGTTTCCAGGTTTTACCTATTGTAAATAGTGCTACAATAATGCTTTGCTTTGTTTTTGACTCTCTTCCTATTCACTATCCCAGTGACTGAAGAGATGCTCTTGACTTACACAAAATGCAATCTAAAAAAAATAGTTGTCTTAAATCTGGGGAAATAGAAAATCACATGACACAGGTGATTTTATTTACTTTTCCACTTTCTATTTCTTTATTCCCCTAAAGCTTTATTTTTGTCTTTCCCTTTCTAACCCTCTATCCTCATAATACACATTCCCTTTAAACAACTGCAAATAATTATTCTGCCGGCCTGCCTTCCATGTCTGTCCCCGTCACAGTTTCTAAAACTCATCTGAAATGAGTGTCTTGTCATGTGCGCTATGGAACTACTGTAGGTATGTTTTAATTTAATGCAAAATGCTTTAGTTTAAATTGTGGACCTGCCCAATTAATATACTGCCACATTCTGTTGTTCAAAATTCTCTGTCTGGGGTGTCTGCTAATGTTCCACAAACAGGATTTCCTAGAAGGAAACCTCCAAGTGTTCCCGGCAGGTAGATAGAAATAGAAACGGGAAAATGTTGCTCTCTCAAACATTACATATGAGCAAATGGAGACAGACAAGATTACCTGAAATTGGCTGATGCTTTAAGTGAGTTAGAGATGGAGGTAAGACTATAATTGAGTTATTTCCTGATATAGTGCCCCCTCAATTCCTTTTTTATTAAATATATCATGAAGCTAAAGTAATTTTATTTTCTATTTTCTTTCCTTTTATGTGAATAGTGGACTCTCATTGAGCTCCACAAGCCTCATTGTGGGTTGCATTAGCTTGACTGCCTCCACTCCGGGCTGTGCTGTTAGTTCCAGGCCCTGGAATTGCTGGCAACAGCGACTTCAAAGGGTAAGGGGTGGAAAGTGCCCTGTACACAGTAAACAATAGTGTTGTATCTGTTCATCTTTTAAAATATCCCAGGCTTATAAAAGTATAGATATTGCGTGTAAATACCAGTGTACACAATACCAAGTCTACAATGCAGAACATTTCACATAAATGGTAGCCTGTTATGTGTTCTTCCCAAGCCTGCTTTCTTCTCCACACATTACCAGCCATGATTATCCTGAAGTTGGTATTTTTCATTCCCCTGAATGTGTCTGTGTCTTGCCATAACAACACAGTATAATTTTCATATTTGAAAGCTTGATATGTCTGTATCTTTGTGAAACTGGCTTAAAAAAAAGATTTATTTATTTATTTATGCATACAAGAACTGTGGGGGGTGAGAGGATTCACCAGAGACAGAGTGGGGAGCAGAACGGGCAGACTGATCTGACGCTGCTGAGGGGAGCAGTGGGTGAGACAGGAGAGGTCTGCTGGCCATGTGGGTAACTACCTGGCCGGGGATTGAACTCATGCTACAGAGCTTGCAGATAGCTTCATAGTGCTATGCTTAACCCCTTGTGCCACCAGGGAGGCCCTGAAGCTGGCTTTTTAAAGACTTTGCTGTTCAGTCCCATATAAGCCACAAGTTGGGAGGGCAAGGAGTTAAGAGGCTTGATTCTATGTAGGTATTTGATGCCAACCTGGATGGCATGGTCTCCTTTGCCAAGCACTTGTGGGCACCTTACCTGTTTCTCACAAGCACCGGTTTGGACCCCAGTGATTAGATTGGGAAGCCAGGGTCCAGAGGAGTTTTGTTCTTGCTGGAGGCTGTGTATCCGGAGATATACAACCTGCTCCTGCTGTGCACTTGGGATGATGACCCTTCCTCTCATCCTGGTCTTGTCTAGACAGTCTCTGAGAGTCAGGTAGTGGGAGGATGATTTTTTAATACCTGAAAAGGTGGCATGATGCTAACTCAGAGTGCTAGGCTGTTCTCTGGGCTGAGAGTGCTATTAGATACCTACAAGTTGCCCTTGGTGTCCACCATTACAAACCCCCAGATACTTTTCTTGCATGTTCCATTTCGGGAAAGTAAGAATTGTTGACATAATGAATTAGCACGTGCCTTGTCTGCTTTTCTATTTCTTCTCATTTGTGAGCTTGATCACTAAGCTTTGAATATTGCTGCCTTTTAAAGCTTTTGCCCATCTGAAGTCATCTTGGCTTTTTTTTTTTTTTTTTTTGGCTTTTTTACTCTTCCATGACTATTAGCTGCTTTGGAGACAAGGGACCTATTCTTTCCTTCCTTGGCACACTGCATCATTTATGAATGCAAGAAAGGAAGATGAATACTTTTTTCCTCTGCTCAAATATCTATGGCGCTGTTCAGGATAAATTAGATGGGGAAAAAAATCTGAAATATGTGACTTTCTTTAGATTCTAGACCAGAGATGATTAAACTTTTTCGGTTAAGGTCCAGACAGTAAGTATTTTATGCCCTGTGGGCTATGTGGTACCTATTGGCCTCTCCTCTACCCTACCTTTGCAAGTCACCAGAGGATGTGGCAGTGTGCCAATAAACTTTATTATTTACAAAGATTGACAGTGAGTAGATTTGGCCCCTAGGCCAAAGTTTGCTGACCCCTGTTTTCAATTTAATCTGTGCCTACCAGAAATCTCTTCTTTGGCTAAGTGGTTTATTACCAACCATATGTTTCAAAGTCTCTATCACCAGAGATACAAGCAGGTTTTCTCTTCGAAAATAAAATATGATACTTACAAAGCTAAGCATTACCCACTGCCTTCTAAGCTAAATAAGAATCAGAAGGCCAATCCGGTATTACTAGGTCCCCTATTAATTTTTCCCTTTCCAAGATTAGAGTTGATGTGAGCTACAACTCTACTTGGTCTAGAAGCATATCTATCCCTGACCTCTCCTCTGTGTTTTAGACCTTTTTTAAAAAAACAATAATAGAAGGTATTCCAGTTCATAACCTACTTAGTGAGAATTTTATTTCATTATGGCCATCTGAACCACAGATCTGAAAAGTACCTTTACCTCTATCAGTCAATCCCTTTGATATTTATTGTAGCGCAATGACTGTCAAAAATATCCAATGATTGAGTTGAAAACAAGGTCCATGTTTTGTGATCTCTTAGTTGTTTTCTCGTGTAATGTCTCAATTTTACCCATGGATAATTTGAGAATTGTAAGGCCTTTTTGTAATAAAGATTCTGGGGTGGAGGGAAAAAGGAAGGATTGCCCCCAAACCTGTTTAGAGCCAGTGGTTTTCATAGACACAAGTGGAAGAGCAGCTCTGGTAATGACCAGCTTTGTTATTTGCAAATGACAATTTATGAATTTTGTACACGACATTTTTCTACACAAGAAAAAACTTCTCATAATCCTAGCAAATATTTTGGAGTAAAATCAATAGAGTTTTAATAGAAGAAAATTTTAAAAACTTAGAAAACATAAATAAGAAAAATAAAATCACTCACACTCATAACTGTCACTAACATTTTAGGGGCCAGCTTTTAGATATCTCTTTACATATGTGTGTGTGTACATCAGATATAAAATATTCACATGCATGCGGTGTTATGTGAAGTATTTTTGTAATCTGCCCTTTTCATTGAAAAATATATAGTGAGCAGGGCCTCCCTCGTGGCGCAGGTGGTAGAGCGCCGCATTGTGAAGCTGTCCGCAGACTCTTCAGTGTGGGTTCGATCCCAGCCAGCCGGCGAGAATCCTACATGGTGCAGCAGACCTCTCCTGTCTCGCCCGCTGCTTCCCTCAGCAGTGCATTTCAGTCAGTCTACCTGTTCTGTTCCCCGCTCTGTCTCTGGTGAATCCTCTCACCCTCCCGCGCATCTGGTCTGTACTCTGATTCTTGTATAAATAAATAAATCTTTAAAAAAAGAAAAGAAAAGAAAAAATATATAGTGAGCATACTTTTTTTGATAAATATGGATCAACATTAACTTTAATAGCTATGTGACATTCTGAAGTAAGGATTATCACCTACTTGGACAATCACCTATTGTATTTTAAGTGCTTTTGTACTTTTCCACTATTTTAAAGAATACTTAGGTAAACTTTCATATATATATATATATATATATATATATATATATATACTCATCTCCTTTTCCTGCCAGATTATCTCTCTTTTTTTTTTTTTTGATTTTTTTTTTTTAAGATTTATTTATTTATTTATTTATTTAAGCACTGGGTACAGTCAGAAGCGTGGGAGGGTGAGAGAATTCACCAGAGCGGGGAGCAGAACAGGCAGACTGACGAAATACACTGCTGAGGGGAGCAGTGGGCGGCAGGAGAGGTCTGCGCGCCATGTGGGACCCTCACCCGGCAGCCAGGGATCGAACCAGTGCTGCGGGCAGCTTCGCAACCCAGCGCTCAACCGCTGCGCCACCGGGCAGGCCCCAGGTTATCTCTTTAAGATAAAATGCTAAAGTATAATTGGCAGAAATATGTATGTGTATATATATGTTTAACTTTGATATAGAGAAGCTTATGCCCAAATTATATTCTTCTAAACAGTTAATGAGAGTGCTTTACACCCTCCTTAAATGCTGGAAAATGGAAATGGTGAATTTGAACCTTCCTGCTTATTCCGGAATCCATCTTCATGACCACTGTGTCCCACTGCCGTTGGAGAAAAGGAAGACTTAGCTGACTAGGAAACAAACCTGAACAACCGCTAGACTGCCTATATTTGTAGTATTTTTTATTTTAATTATTTTCAAAATAATCTCTTTGATATTTTTAGGGTGTATCAAGGTCAGAAGAAATCAAAAGAAGCTCTCCCCCTTTACCAAGAGGCTTTAGAATATATTGAGATGAGTAAAGGAGAAAGAAGTCTTGAGTGTGTACCGGTATTGAGGGAATTAGCTGGCGTAGAGCAAGCCCTGGGATTTCACGATGCAGCCATCAACCACCAATTACAGGTAAGCTGCAACATCCTGGCCCTCAAACCTGTTTAGAGCCAGCGGTTTTCATAGACACAAGTGGAAGAGCAGCTCTGGTAATATCCAACTTTGTTATTTGCAAATAATAATTTATTTGCAATAACAGTAACAATAACAATTATTTGCAAATAATAATTTGGGTGAAGAGAACACTTGGCCTGGGATAGATGTTCAACACACATCTTCATAGAGAGGCTCCAGTGGGTGCAGATCCCACACCCAGACTCCATAGAGTCAACTTTTCTCATAGCTTCATAAGTTTTGATATCCCACATACTGTTTCTTTATCCTTTTAGAATCTATCTATTTAGAACTTATGTTATTCAATTGATCAGGGTTATTTTCTATGACAAAAGTCTATCCCTGAAGTCACTTAGAGTCATCTGTTACCTGCAGTTCTATGTTTTCATGATTAGATTCTTCTGTGAGTTTGTCCATCAGGACTCTCCAAACAGAACCTATTATATATAGCATCTATACATAGAGAAAGAAAGGTTTATTTTGGGAGTTGGCTCACACAAATGTGAGGACTGACAACCTCAAAACCCATAGGGTAGGCCGGTTCCAACACAGTGGACAGATGGGGAGCGGTGGAGTAGAGAGACCAGTAAGAGGGCTCTTGAAGTAGCCAAGGTTGAAGGTGATGGTGACTATTTGTGCATGTACAGAGAGGAACAGGTGTGGCTGGGCAGTGGAGAGGCGGTGAGTCTGAAATGCCCATAAGGTGTATGAATGGACATGACAGCTAGGCAACTAGATAATCAGGACCAGATCTCAGAAAATAGGTCAGAAGTTCTCTATTTATCCATAGTAATTGTCTTGGGAGAGGATGATGTCACCTAGGGAGAGTTTTATGGAGTGAGAAGAGTATTATGATGGTCTTGAGGAACTTGAGTGTTCATTGGTCAAGTATCCTGGCAAAGGAAACAGAAAAATTTGCCAGAAAGACAGGAGGAAAAGTAAAAGAAAAAGATGCTCTATCGTTTGATACCTTTAGTTGTTATGGAGGACATAGAGTTGTTGCGAGGATGAATGAGTTAATATTCGTAATGTGTGTTAACAGCAACTGACCTATGGTGCTACATACGATGTTTTTTAATTTTCCCCTTTTCCTTGCCTCTCTTCTCCTTTCTATCTTTTTCCCTTTTTCTTTCATTGATGACTTTGTGGTAGGAAATGTTAGGTCAATAATGAGTAGAGAAACCAGATTGTACAGTAAGTGAAATATGGAGAAACAGAAGCTTTTTTAAATGCCTTTTTTTTTTTAAGATTTATTTATTTGTTTGTTTGTTTGTTTATTTATACAAGCACTGGGTACAGTCAGAAGCTCGGGAGGGTGAGAGAATTCACCAGAGACAGAGCGGAGAGCAGAACAGGCAGACTGACGAAATACACTGCTGAGGGGAGCAGCGGGCGGCAGGAGAGGTCTGCGCGCCATGTGGGACCCTCGCTGGCGGCCAGGGATTGAACCAGTGCTGCAGAGGCTGCAGGCAGCTTCGCAACCCAGCGCTTAACCGCTGCGCCACCAGGGAGGCCCTTTAAATGCTTTTAAGCTTTCAACCTTTCCTTTACATCATTACATTTGAATTTTGAATAAGTCAGATTTCTCTATCTTCAGGTTATCGAAGAAGTTTATTCAGTTTTATAATACTAGTAAAGTTTGAGAAATTACTTGTTTATTTTTGAAGATAATAAATATTAGAGAGTGCTTAACTATATTCTTACCTGTTATTTTTAAAGAGAGAGCTTGGTGAAGTCAAAATAGCGTTAAATTTGAAATCACAAAAGAGTTCAGACTCTTCCATTTACCAGCTGTTTAATTACACAAGTCATTTAACCTCTCAAAAAAAAAAAAGAAATCTACAAAAGACCTTATCCACTTCACAAAACTGCTCAAAGTTTCAAAATGCTTTGAGAACTATTAGGCATATTGCCAGTTTAAGCTACTTTTATTTATTAGCAATAATTACTAAACATTTATCAAGGTTTTCCTTTTCTTTAGGAACTTTACCTAAAATAGAGAATGGTACAGTGTGGCCACCGCTCTCCCAGGGATCGTGTGCCTCAAAGCCATTTATTAAGTACACACAAAGAAAAGGGGTTTTGTTATTTCTCCTCTTATTTTTCACTCTTCATTCTTTTGGAGTGAGAGAAACGCCCAGAGAGAAAAGATCTTTTATTTTCTGTAGAATGTAGAAAAGTTCCAAAGTATTTTAGGAACCAACCCATTAAAGCGAGAAAAATAAAGCAAGCCCCGTAGGGTGGCCCACAGGGAAGGCAGCAGACCAAGGGGCTGATGAAAAGGCTGTCGCCCATCCAGCCCCTGGCAGCAGGGGTCTGCAAGAAACCACGCAAACATAATTGTTCCTGAAACTCCTCATGGCAGATTTTGGCAATAGGACCTTATTTTCCTGTCCAAAAAAATAAAATAAAATAAAATCACAGGATTTCATGTCTGTGAGTGAGAGTATGTTTGTGGGTGTATATAAATTAGCTCTGCACTAGCTTGGATGCTTTTTCACATCTCTGACACTTGAATTGCATATTTCTGTTTTCAGTTTTCAGGGCAGCTATGCCGCATTTAAGGAAGTTTAATTTGCAGAGTATAATGAAATCATTTAATTTGTCAGTTACTCTAACAAAGACTATAGACTGAAAATCTGGCTTCAGGTTTCTGCTCTGGGTGAGTTACTGGCCCAGCAGATGCCTGCTAGGTACTCCCATGAGGCTCCTGGCAGGTACAGATTCCTCAGCACACATTCAGGGTGGCTCTTGTTATAGCTTCACTTGTGATAGTCAGACAATGCTATTTTTTATTTATTTTTTAAAAAGATTTACTTATTTATGCATACAAGAACTTGGGTACAGGCCAGAGATGCAGGGGGTGAGCGTATTCACCAGAGACAGAGTGGGGAACAGAACAAGCTGGCTGACTGAAATGCACTGCTGAGGGGAGCAGCAGATGAGACAGGAGAGGTCTGGTGTGCCATGTGGGTGGTTTCTTGGCGGCCACAAGGCCGAACCCGCGCTGTAGAGGCTGCGGATAGCCTCATAGTGCTGTGCTTTACCCCTTGCACCACCAGGGAGGCCCCAATGCTATTTTTAATTGAGAAACTTCCAGAAATACTAGTTGTTTTTGTTTACAATTAGAAGAGATGTAGAATGCAATTATGATTTTATTAATACTAAACATCTTCAAAGAATGACATAAGACTTAATTCAAGTGCCATGCTGCTCCTTTTCGTTAGCAACTATTTTTAATAAAAAATGCTAATGCTCATTATTAAAAAAAAATATCAAGCCATGCAGAAAAGTACAATGAAGTGGGTGTCAAGTCATCCCAAGCCTCCCCTCCCATAAGTAGCCTGTCCTCGTTGAGCGTCTTTCCTGTTTCTGTGCAGATGGGTTTGGAAGGACAGAGAGAGGAGAGAAAGAGGAGAAACACTGATGCATTTGACAGCACAAAAATGAAAAACTGCTCTGTGACAACAGAGTGTCAAAAAATAAATGTCAATGAGGGGAAAATATAGAGAGTTCTTATAAAATTGAAATGTAAAAGAAGGCAATAGACATGTGGACAAAAAACAGGAACAGAGCTTTACAGAAGAGGAAATCCAATAAGATCTGTATAAAATCATTTCACTCCAATGAAAGAAACGCATTTAAACCAAGGAAATGCCATTTTTGACCTACTCATGAGCAAAATAAAAATGTTAGATGAGGCTCCTTGATGGCCCAGGCTCAAGGAAGCCAGCCTCCATGTGCGCTGTCAGTAGGAGTGGGGATGGACACCCCTCTGGGAGAAAGCAGTTGCTACCCCTTTTCTAGTTTTATAATGCACCAACCCTTTGACCAGCAGTTTCACAGCTGGGAACTTACCTAACAGATGTATGTGCACAAGTGTGCAAAGATGTATAGCAGCAGTGTTGTTGGCAACAACAAAAAATTAGAAATAGGGCCTCCCAGGTGGCACAGGGGTTAAAGTCTCAGCACTATCAAGCTGTCGCCAGCCACTGAGACATGAGTTAGGTCCCCAGCCAGGGAGCTGACCCACATGGCACAGCAGACCTCTCCTGTCTCGCCCGCTGCTCCCCTCAGCAGTGTATTTCAGTACATCTGCCAGTTCTGCTCCCCACTCTCTCTCTGGTGAATCCTTTTACCCCACCCCGCACCTCTGGCCTGGACCCCAGTTCTTGTATAAATAAATAAAAATAAATCTTTAAAAAAAATAGAAATAGCCTTAAAATTTATCAATGGGAAAATTACAGTATGTCCATCCATGTGACAGACTCACAGGAGCCACTAGTGACAAAGAGATGGGTATGATGCCCTCCCATGAGAGATTGCCAAGGGTACTATTCATTTTAAAAAGCCAGATGAAGACCAGAATGTTAACAACCAGATATCAGACTAGAAAATATTTTGCATGCGGTTTGGAATCACAGGGCATATTTCAAATCTCTGTTCAGCCATTGACCTTCTATGTGACCTTTCGGCAGTTGTTTCATCTAATTTCCCCATCAGTGAATTGGGCTTTTAATCATTGTTGGGGGTCACTCTGAGATGGAGCTTGTGCCTATAATTCATTTGGCCCCGCAAGGAGGCTAAATGCACCGAAGGAGCTGTTGAATCACCCTCTGTGTCTTTCTGGTGCTGGCCCTCAGCTTTGCAAAGAGACCCTGGCCATGCTAGTTGAAGACTTCTATTGTCTTTCTCCCCGCCTCCCCACCAGTTCTGTTCTTCAGGGCAAGTAGACTGCATTCAAATTCACAAAAGTTCCTAGAGCTGCTTGTATGCTTTTCCCGTGTGGAGGGACAGGCTTCCCTCTGAGTCAGTGACCCCCTAATATCTACCAAATGGGAAGCAGTCAAACCCCATATTCAGAAATGGGGTCCACACTCAGAATCCTCCCTGTATTATAAGTTGCATATAGGATCTACCCGCACAAATTGAAGCATCCTTTTTGCTAGTCATCAGCT